TCATTGTAAAATATCAATGACAATTCATTTGTTAATAAGTCAAATTCATAAATATTATGAAATCTGCAATGAAAATAGCAATATGTACACCAATGATATATTCAAAAGTATTGTTTGATTTCTAAATGAAAACTGTTGCACAAAAGTCTTTCGTGTGTTCACCAACCATCACTAAAGCAATTCTCGTATCATTTCAGCTGATCGAAATTTTAGGTGCATTCGAACACCATGATGACTTTTACGATATTTCCTGAGCTTTGGTATTTGAAACTCATTTTATCAGCAACGTCCTCACTATCAGTGAGTTGGGATGTGCGATAAAATTTGCAATTTTATGATCTGTCGTAGCATATGAACATCTTTTCACTCAACGCTCCGTTCGTTCATATTTTTTTCGAATTTTCAATTTTTTTTGAATTTTCGAATTCCTAAGCCTTGAATTGGACTCAAAACAAGGCTTAAGAATTTCCGCTAAATTATGCATTGCTTTCAGTGTTTCAATTTGCCCGGGATGTTCTATCAAACTTACTGTGGATTATTATCATTAATAGCGACAAGAAGACGTGGATCGCGACGATTGTTCGCTATCACGAATGCTTTCACTTTCGGTTGATCACTTATTGATACCAGATTTTGAGAATCCTTCGTTGACGAAGATGACACCTAGAATTATCAACTGCTTTTACCATTCATAACCTGACATCCTGAACATATCGTTTTTTTTCTTATTAAGAACCCTCACTTCATTTATTCCTTCATGTACGTGCATTACCATTAATTGCTGTTATTGCTTTGGCATAGCATTACCATATATACGATTTTAAGTGAATATAAAAGTATGATTCAAATGTTGAAATTTGCTTTCTCGTGATCGTTGATTTTTTGAAAGAAACATTCGGAAAAGTTTTGTTAACTCGTCATTTAAAATGAATGCTTTACGTTAATTGCATACAGCTGTTAGGTATCGTGGCGATAAAGTCCACTGAAGTCAAATAAAAAAGATCAAAGGAGCGTCAGTTCGTCAAAAATTCCCAGCTTTTCTAGGGTGCAACCTTCTCAGGTTTCATTGTTCAGTTGTGTTTCTTCTTCAGTTTCAACTTCTTTCGACTAATAGATGAGGATATTTGATTCGAATATTTTCGCGTTTGTTTGATCATTATTTTTCATCGAGAATCTCAGTTCTTTTATGACAAAGTTGCGATTTGCGTTCGAAGATAATATTTCCACAAGAAAAAGAGTTCGAACATTCTCTTATGTCCAGAACAGCAAACGACCATCAGATTATGCGCCATTGCGTTTGTCTTCTCATATTTTCAAAACAAACCCGCCTGTCTTCCTTTGTTTCAAAACGATATTCAATCGCTTTGTCAATTGTCAATCATTCTCTTGGGTGTGATTCACTCGTTGAGGATGCTTCATGCACAAAAAGTGAGAATAGTTATGACACATCACATGATATGATATGATAAAATATCAGTGAGAACGAATAACCTCGGAGATATTAAGTTTATACAATCGGTCGTTTTCATCACCATCTGTATCTTGATAATACACGATTATATCCGATACAGCTGTCCATTCGATACCTTTAAAACAACAACTCAATTGTGTTTTCAATGTTGGAATTCGGTCATTCTTGGAGCTGTGCTGAGATATCATTCATTCGCTAACAATATAACAATTTCGCTGTGTTCATCAAGATTATACGAAATAATTCAAGTTTAATAGCAAAATAATGTATCCTTGGAATAGAAATGCTTGTATTATCATACATATGGCTTTTTAAAAGGGAACTGGAACTAGATAAACGGTTCTCAGAAGAAGAAAGCTGAGGAAATGGATTGCTTGAAAAATGATAACGAAATTATCACTAACTATTAATATCAGTATGATCGAAAGTAACTTGTTGACTCTCTTTGCAGGTAACGCATCGCACAAAAACATTGCGAATACCATTCTTATCCGGTGACAAATATGCAATTGTTTTACCATCAGCGCTAAGTGTCACTTCTGAGTAGGCTGGATCACTGAATAACTGCTCGCGTGAGATCAGTTTTGCATCAATCCATACCACCAGTAATAATCTATACAATACAATCAGGAATAACCGTTGAATAGCAGTACCCATTTACTGAAAATAATATTATTGAATAAGTGAAATGTTCACAGATTAAGATTCCTAAAAGCCAGAATTCATTCATGTAAAGCAATTTATTAGTATTTTTTAAGAGGCTGTTGTGACTTGTGACCAACAATACTTGAAGCACTGTTATTTGTGAACTCCACTTTTGAGTTGTTGCATTAAAGGTTTATTTCTTTTGATGAGTTCATGTCAGAGTTTATGACTTCGAGTCGCTGTGTAATGTCTGAATTGATTGCTTTTCAATAGTCGATTGAAATGGACCTATTTTGAAGTATTTTGTGTAACCATTTACAAAATAACTTCACGCACTACAAATGTCATTGAAACTTTTCGGTCTATACGAATTCAA